AAATCCTACCATGTGGATTCATGGATTTTTTTTTCACATTCTGTCTCTCACAGTTGAAGTGTACCTCTGGTGCAAATTACTGACCTCTGTCATCACTTGCACAATCGGTGGCTGACTAAATACTTTTTTGCCCCACTGTATATGTGATTACTCATGAAAGTGGCCACTTTCATGAGTAAATCATATAAGGCTTACACGATTTACTCATGAAAGTGGCCACTTTCTCATTACTTTCATACATTGTTTTAGTAAGTATCCAAAACATACAAGTTTCATTATATAAATTTTCAAAAGATCTTATATCTGTTTTCACTCTTATATGCTTTTCATACAAGTCTCACACAAGACAGATACAAACTTTACAAGATTTATATATATCTTTTCCATATGGGGTATGATATAGCCCAGCCCTACTCTCAAAGATTTTTGATTGTGCATGGGAGTTTGCCCATGTTCGCACATGTGTTTTGTGGATTTGGACAAGGCATATAATTGTGTCCCTTGGGGTATCCTGTGCAAGATGACATGGGAGTACGGGGTGTCTTGTCTGCTGTCACATTTATAATTGCAGAAAAAGCTTGGTCTGCATTATCAGCAATAAACTGAAATCATTCTCGGTGTGTGATGGACTCTATTCTTTCACATTAAAAGGAGCCAGTTGAAGTGGTTCTGGCAGCTCCTCCTGTTTTTTTTGTTATTGTGCCCCCTAAACCTTGACTCACAGATATTTCTTCAGTTTGTTACTGAGTCACTACAGTTTGGTGCTCTCTTTAAGCCTTAGTACTCCACATCTCAATGGCAGTTGTTCATACTGCTTTAGCTACCTTATATTTATTTTCTGCACAATTTTTCTTATTAACAACAATAGTGAATTAATATAATTCAACAAATTAATAAAAGTTAATAGTTAGTATATTCGTTTTCATTTTGTGTGTGCCAGGTAAGGAAGAGTGGATCAGTACAGGTCTCTACCTGTGTCCTGGAATGAAGACCATCGTGGTCTTACCAGCTGAGATTATCAACAAAAACTGGAAGGTACTGCAAACAAAATCAGATTATTTTGAGTTCTTTGTCCCTCTGATAATGCTGCATGTTGTCTGGTCTTTGATAGAAACCATAAGAAACCATAACTCACCTCCAGTAAGGTTTAGGGCCAAGTTCATCTTACTGAGGCGTCCCTTTCCTTTCCCTCGCCCCCACTGTTTGCGATAGTTGACTGCCCCTCCCTGACCTTGGTACTAGCAGAGGTTTCTTCCTGTTAAAAGGGAGTTCTTCCTTCCCATCGTTGCCAAGCTGCTCATTAGGGGAAATTTGATTGATGGAGTATTCTCTGTATGTATTATTGTAGGTTTTTTACCTTAAAATATAAAGCACAATGAGTCAACTGTTGTTGTGATTTGGCACTATACAAATAAAATTGATTTGAATTGAAATTAAAATCTAAGCCTGTTATCCTTTTATTTATCTTGTAATGTGTAGTTAAAAAGTATTAGGCAATGACACAATTTTCCATTTCATCTACAGATTCAGATAGGCTGTCAAACTGATGAGCTACATGACAAGGATGAGCTGAAGAGACCACCATGTGTTCATGAGCAGTTTACTGTTACATCAGACATGATGCTTGTGTCCAACCTGTGGGGGGGACTCATCTATCTGGTGGCTCCACCCAACACACAAGTGAAGGGGTTGGAGATCACAGTGCAGAAAGCTGTAACTGCTCCATATTACAAGTCTGGTAAGTCTGTGGTTTATAACAGTGCTGTGTACTTTGTGCACTTTGTGTCAGTTGATTTAATGGAAGATATCTGATAAGTCTTATGCTTGTTGAATTGGATCACTTTCATTCTGATCGAAGGTACACAGTGTTTTCATTGGACAATACAGGTGACTTGAGCTCAACATATTTCTAGTAAAGAAAGCTAAACAAAGAACCTTTTAACAGCTTTACCCCTCTTCTAAACCAGTACACAAAGTTTAACAATCCAAAACATTCCCCTTTTGCTCTTTTCAGGTGTAACAACTGCAGCTGAGTGGTTAACACTGCGCACAGCTCCTTCACCGTGGGCAGAGTTGGAGTTTGAAAACATCGTCCTCACCGTACCATCAGATGCTATTCGGGGTCTGGAGCGCCCCGACAAGGTGGCCGCTCTCTGGGATGAAATCATGAGGGCCATTGCAGATCTGGCTGCCAAACCACACAAATTTCCCCACAAGGAGCGCTTTGTGACAGATGTGCAGATTTCTGCCGGTAAGTGCACTTTGCTTCACGTTTTATACTTGCCCACTGTCTCCTGCTGTGGTGACCCCTTGTGAAAAAGGGAGCAGCTGAAAGCTTTTGTATTTACTTGTTTCTTATTTGCTTTGCTTATGGAGAGTCCCAATGACATGACGCCTGTCCCTGACACATATACAGACAACCATTTACATTTATAAATCACAACAATTTGTAGTTTCCAACTTAAACAGGAAATGAATGTTTCTGTCATATATACACTGTTAGAATGATGAATGGCAATATTTGGTATGTTGCACTGTTCTCTTACAAAGCTATGTAATCTTAAAAAAGTACTAGTATCCCACTGTAGATCAACTTTCTATTCTTTGGTTAAGGCTGGATGCATGCAGGTTATCCTATCATGGCACACCATGCTTCAGCTGCTGAATTAGTTGGTGTTAAAAAAAGTAAAGAACTGTGGGGTCCCATCCATGAGTTGGGACACAACCAACAGAGAAGCTGCTGGGAGTTCCCATCACACACCACAGAGTGTACATGCAACCTGTGGTCAGTGTATGTGCATGAAGAAGTGCTGGGTCTCAACAGAGCACAGGTAGAGCAAATCAATTGGTGTTGAGTTTAAAAATCTGTTATTTACTTTATCAGACATGATCATAAAACACAAGCACTTTTTCCAATTGTTGTTCAATGCAGGCTCATGACGAGTTGCCTTTAGCAAAGCGAAAGAGTCGAGTAGAGAAATACATCAAGGGAGGAAGGGAACTCAGTGACTGGAAGCTGTGGGTTGCCCTGGAAACATATCTGCAGGTGAGAGAGTTATAGAGAAATTTTGCTTGGTCCACAGTGAAGAAAATGCATGATATGAATAAGACGGAAAGTCTGTAACTCCATTTGATCCAGTCACACTTTAAATCTAGCAAGTGAACAACAAATCACTTATTTAATCTGCATTTTAGCCACATGCTCAAATTGCATCATACACAGGAGAAAATTACATAGTAAGGGGTAGACATGAACCTTAGAACAATAATAAACCAGTCACTGGTGGATGTCAAGAGGAAAATACTCCCAACAAACAAACAGCATAACAAACAGCAACAATTTTGTATAAAAGTAGTTTGGCTTGTTGTCATATCTACCTTCTCTGTAGCTCCAGGAAAAGTTTGGCTGGGATGCCTTCAAGAAGGTGTTTGCTGCGTACCACCGTATGAGTGACATCCCTGATGACAACAACACAAAGATGAACCTGTATGCTGAGACTTTCTCTCAGACTGTGAAGATGAACCTGACTGGCTTCTTTAAGGCCTGGGGCTGGCCAATAGAAGCAGCCACTGAAATGAAACTGTCCAAGCTGCCTTACTGGAATGATCACCCCATGAACTAGTACAGATAAACCCAGTGCCACTGCAGACTACAAAATATTAATGTTAGTATTAATGAGTGAAACTGTTCTTTTTTGGTCTTTTTTTAAACCACATTAGTCAAGAATAAACCATATATGGAATCTCGTTTTGACCTCAGATGTTTCTGTACACTACGCCAGCCTCTTGGTTCCTTTGTTTTTTAGGCCTGTTACACATAGAGCAAAATTAACCTGTGTAATTATTTAGTACGCTCACTGGTGGTGGTTTGTGGTTATGATGGTGTTTTTGTGTGGTTTTTAGTGGAACTAGTAATCATGTTTTTGTAGTAAGTATCACTTTAGTATGTTACATTATATGCATGACACTTAATATGTAAACCATTCACTGTCAAAGTTTCATGTCTGTATTACACCAACAGGATAAGACAGAACTGGATTAGTTGTTTTCCCATTGACTGAGAACTGATACATAGACTAAATGACAGTAGTATAATGATCCTAGTAATCTTGATTGTTTGTGTAATTAAGTAAAAGTTTTGTCTAATAGCATGGAATCAATGCAGTTATACTTAAAAAAAAAAAAAAGAATTGATGCCTACATGTGTTCTGTTGTTGAATGATTGCGTTTGGCTGAACCACAGATTCTGTGCAGTGAATCTAAGAACATTACATGGACTGCTGGGTTATAAAGTCAGCTCAAAGTTACGCTTTCTGTTTTACAGTGAACTGTTTAGTGCTGTTAGTGCTATGTAATGCTTTTACATCATACACTGCTGTTTGGCTGCGGCTGCTCATGTTAATGGCTTCTGTCATTAAATGTAAGGAGAGCCCCCACCCACATCCATCCATCCATCCATCCATCCAGGCACTTTGCAATTCTATGATTAGAGCGATGACTGAATTGAATTCAGTCTCACAGCAAGAAGGTCCTGAGTTCAATTCCATCATCGGGCCAGGCTATTTCTGTGTGGAGTTTGCATGTTCTCCCTGTGTTTGCATGGGTTCTCTCTGGGGACTGTGGCTTCCTCCCACAGTCCAAAGACATGCAGTTAGTGGGTTTAAGTTCATTGGTAACTTGCCCATAGGTGTGAATTTGTTTGCAAATGGTGTTTGCCCTGTGACAGACTGCTGACTTGTCCAGGGTGTACCCTGACTCTTGCCCTCAGACAGCCTATCCCAGCTGTCTGAGGGCAGTAAATAACAGTAAATAAATATGACCACTCTATCCTGTCAAAAGCCTGACGAGCGTCAAGTGACAATAATGCTGTATCTTTAGCATCAAATTTCTCATGAATTATATTTAGAACCCTTCTTATATTGTGAAACCCTTGACATTTTGGCACAAAGCCATTTTGATCATTATGAACTAAATGTGATATTTAGGGGTCTAATCTCCTTGCTAAAACTTTACAAAGTATTTTAGTGTCAACCCCCATCAGACTTATTGGTCTAAATGATGAACACTCTGCAGGGGGTTTGCCAGGTTTCAGTATCAAAGTAATCATTGCCTGTCTCAGAGTGGGTGGGAGAGCTTCATTTTGATACGCTTCTTCAGACATGTTAAAAAGTGGAATTAATAATTTTGTCTTGAAAAGTTTTATAAAATTCAATCGGAAAGCCATCTGGCCCAGGTGC